GCCAGATCTGGCCGTCAGCGACGGCCAAAGAAATGGCCGTCGTTGACGGTCAACGACGGCCAAATCTTGGCCGTCGTCGATCGAAAACGACGGCCACATCTTTGGCCGTCGCTGACGGCCAAAGATGGCCGTCGTTTGGCCTTTTCCGGCCGTCGACGGCCAAAACAAACCATAGATCTGGCCTTTTCCGGCCAGATCTACCATGGATCTAGCCGGAAAAGGCCATAACGATGTGTTACGGCACAGATCCGACAAGTCTGTGCCGTAACGAAATTTTCCGGTCAGATTCCGGCGGTGGTGGCCGGAATCTGACACTGCAGTGGTGGGGGTGTTTTTGTCATTTTACATGTTAGGGTCTTTAGTTAAATTAGTAAACCTAAGGGCTTTTTTATAAATTTTTAAAATTTACCTCGTAATACTCCCATATCCAATAAGTCCATTTGGTTTATTATTTTATACCTTATTCTTAAAATAACTATTTATTTAATTATTTATAAAATATTATTATATTTTTTAATTATTTTTAGACTCCTTAAGTTTATGAATTTAATTAAACACCACCAAAAAAAATTTAAAAATTAACAAAAACACCCTCATCCATCTATAATTGCCAGATTTTGGCATACAAATGATCGAAACTGGTTAATAATTCATCGATCTGACCTTTTTCGACCAGATCCATTATAGATCTAACCAGAAAATGTTAAATCTGGCTGTCAATGACGGCCAAAGAAATGATCATCATTGACAATCAATGATAGCCAACTCTTGGTTATCGTTAACCGACAACGACGGCCATATCTTTGGTCATCGTTGACGGCTAGATCTGGCCTTTTGTGACCGTCGACAGCTAGATCTGTTTGGTGATATGGCCTTTTTCGGGGATCAGTCTTGTGGACACCCTGATTAAAAAAAAAAAAAAAAACATTTTCATTTGACATAATTAGATTAACATGCAATATATTAATATTACCCAAAGATATGTGATAACAAACAAAATTAAGTATCTTAATCCATTATATAAGATTTTATATATATTTATATATATATTTTTTTAATTTTTTCGCAGTCTTAGTAAAAGTTAAGGATTTACTTTATATGAGATATCACGTAAATGTTGCTAGAGTAACGGACCCTTATTATAAGGGTGTTATTATAATATATTAGAAGTTCTTAAAAAGGACTTGTAACATTTGAAGATGCCCCATGACATGAGTAACTAGAAAATGTGAAATGTATGGTTAACCCTATCATGAAAGTTTCTTTAGAGTATAGGAAAAGCAACTACCTCTTCTTCGTAAAGAGAATTGATTCAACATTATTATTATTATTATTTTTAAAACAGGTTGTCCAGGTCAACTTCTTGACTAATCTTTGAAGGTGACAGACACCCTTGACTACACATCCCAACGCTCATCTTACCATTTAAAACTGCCTAAGAGTGGGTCAAAATTATTATATGCCAAAACTTGATATTGAAATAAATTATAAGAACCAAAATTGGATGATCCAGCGATCAACTAGGACTCTTGGGTATATTACTCAAGAAGTCTTGAGTTCGATCCACATGGATTGTTAATAGGGGTGGTCACGTCAAAAATTTACCTAATTGTCAATTTCAGAGCTCCAAGAGATTAATTGAAGTGTGTAAGCTAGACTGAACACCTTCGATCACCAAAGAAAATAATTATAGGTCTGTTTGGTTTGTTATTTTGGATATGATTTTGGAAATAATATTGGATAGTTGAATAGGGTGATTATTACGAGGTAAAGTTTAAAAATTAATTAAAAAAAACCCCATGTTTGCTAATTTAACTAAACATCCCAATATATAATTTTTTTTAAAAATGATAAAAACACCCCCACCCACCTATAGTGCCAGATTCTGGCCACCACTGTTAGAATCTAGCTGGATGTGAGTCAATTTGACATTTTTCGGTAAACTACTGACGGTGATTGTCGGAATCTGGCAACTATAGGTGGGTGGAAGTGTTTTTATTAATTTTAAAACTTTTTTTTTTTATGTGGGTATTTAATTAAATTAATAAACTTGAGGGGTTTAAAAGTAATTAAAAAATATAATAGTATTTTCTAAATAATTAAACAAATAATTATTTTAAGAATAAGATTGAAAATAGGATATGAAATAATAAACCAAACTGACATTATGAGATTTTTCTTGACTTTGTTCTTATCAATAAACAATTTGAAATGGGTCGGAAACACAAAGTTCATTATCCTAGCAACGGATTCCCAATTAAATAGAGTAAAGGAGAATTTCATAGTTGAGACATAGAGAACTGTTTACTAAATTTGATTAAAATAAAAAGCAATTATAAATAAGAAAAAAAAATTAAAAAAAATCCAGCCGACCGTTTGACAGATAAAGACAAAGGAATACTCAAGGAAAGAGCACGTGGCAGTAAGCGTGAGAAGATACAGCAATGGGAGGAGCCATGTCGTTTTAAGATTAGAAAACAATGCCTACTATTAGCAAACGACAATCCGTGATTCGGTGCGGTCACGTGCATGGCCCCTCTCCATTATACAATAACATGTGATATTTTATTTTAATAAAGAGTTTAATAGATTATGTAGAAGCTAAGCAAGAGACAAACAGGATGATGATTTTAGACTGACCCAATTAAGTCTTCATTGTTTATTGCTAAATGATTTTGGTAGGCAAGAAGAAGGAAAGAACCCAGAAATTGACTTACCTTTGAAGTTTCCAAAGCCACCCAACTTTTGTCTTCAATACTTTGTTTAGACCAGTATACGCGCGTCACGATTAATCTTTGAGACCATTGAATACTCTACAAACTTGATATTTCAAAGTAAGTTACAAATCTGGTAGGTGGTTCCTAAGTTTCGAACCTAAAAAGTCAATGAATGGAGCAAATCTTCTTAACCGTTAGGCCAACCCCTTTGGCGATTCACTTAGGACTCTTGGGTGTATTACTTAAGAGGTCTTGAGTTCAAATCTCCACGACTACTAATAAGAGGTAGTTATTGGAGTCCCAACCGACTAAGCACGCTTAAAACTTTTGGTTTATAAGAGGGGGTAATCCTCCCATTCAACAAGGCTTTATTGGGTGAGGATTCAGACCCATCTCAAATTCTATCATGGTATCAAAGTCAGGCTCAGTTGAGTTGAGTACTTGATCAACGGGTGAGGAGTTAGAGCCAACAACTATTTTCATCAATAGGCATGACCGTGAGGGAGAGCGTTGGAGTCCCATTCCAACTAGGCACGCTCAAGCCTTTTGGTTTATAAGATAAGGTGATCCTCCCATTCAATAAGACTTTATTGGGTGAGGAGTCAGACCTACCTCAAATTCTATCAGTAGCTACTAGAGGCTAACCTGACTGTTAACTTCAGGGTCCCAAGGGAATAATCAAGGTGCGCATAAGAAATCACGAGTTAGTTATAAACTATGCTCATTACCTATGATTAGTTGATGACTTTGAAGGAAGCTTTGAGTAACCAAAACCTGATAAAATTTTTAAATTTCACAAGTAAACTCATGTTGGGGTGTGGTTGCAGGTTTGTTCAACAAACATAACCAGTTGATGATCCTTTAGAATATAAAAATCTCACAAGTGACTTCACTCACACAACATTATATATACTGTATATTTTATATAATCATATTTCATTTTCTAACTTTTGTGTGAATTATTTCATAGAGTAAACTTGCAGAACCAATAGCTGCATGCTGATGTATAATGGAAGACAAAGCCAAAGGACCCACCTGGTATGGCCATATTTGGTGGATTTCAATCCTCTTCTTCATCTTTATAAAAAGTATAGTTGATATTATCCAGAGCATGATCATCATTGTTTCAGTCCCTCTCTATATTTTTGTTTTTGGAATTAACAATGAGTATTCGATTTAAAGAGACAGATGAAAGACAGAAAAATTAGACCGAAATAGCTATCAACTCGAGCGAATAGCAACAAAAAGTTTTGACTCTGAAAAATATATGAAATCAGAACTCTAATACAAGAAGAACAGGGAGTGAAGCGTGCAGGAGCAGTTCTTTAACTTATGATTGCCTTAGGGATAAAGGAGATAACACAATCTGTTCGGAGATCACGCAACCGAATGCATTCATTCGAAATTAATAACATAAGAATAAAATCACACCACACAAAGGGACACGATATTTACGTGGTTCAGCATAACCTGCCTACATTCACATATGAGAGAAATTCATTATAGTTTTATGAACACCATATACAAGAGCACACTAGGGGTGTTCAAAAAAATGCAAAAACCGAACCAAACCGAAAATTGGTTAACCGAAAAAACGGTTCGAAAAATTAAAAAAACCGGATTTTCGGTTTGGGAAAAAATAGAAAGCGGTTAAGCGAAACCGGTTATATATATATTAAATAAAAAAATAATAATATTTTTAATATATTGTTAGTAGTAGTCAATGGATATGAATGAATATTTAATTTTTATTTGGATATGTATTGTTTATATTTACAATTTAATTTAGGAAAAAATAAAAGAAATAAGTTTTATAAAAAACAAAAAAGGGAAAACCGGTTTTCCCTCCAAACCGGTTCAGTTTCGATTCAAGAAAGTGGTTAACCGGTTCGGTTAACCGCTTTTGAACACCCCTATAGTACACAATACCATAAACCCGGTACATAAAACAGAGCGGAAACAATCCTGATTTCTAACCACGCTCAACCTAGTACCTTGAGTGGAAACGATCCCAGTTTCTAAAACACTCTCCCAATGGTGTTTAATAACTATTACATCAAATACCATGTGTTCTCATAATACATGGGATATTCTATTTCTAATAGGATTTATATTTTAATTCCTCTTAGGACTCCTAAGTTCTAATCTTATTTACGATTATATTCTTTACCAAATAATCTTCTTATATACATACAATTTCACGCCAGAACAAATAGGAAAACGAGCCACAATACCCTAACAGAGTCTTCATCAAGTCAAAAACTGAAGAATTTAGTACAATAATTTCATAGTTCCTAGCAGCTTCTTCCCTGGTTTTTATTGTTTTGCTAAATCAATTCAAACATGATGTTTATATTGGAAGAATACAGCAATAACTGATAAACTATCAATGAAACATGGTACAGCCAATGGCATTCTATGATTATGTTTGGGAATAAAAATCATCAATGACAGTTCGAACTATCAACGGTATTCTCACAACATGATGTAAACCATCTTCCCAGAACAGATATCCAAACGAGTATCTTCCCTGAACTCTTAGCTGGGAACGAAAAGTTACCTTAAACTTCAGAGTCTTTACAGTAGAATTAAATGTCAAAGTTGATGGTTCGACTCCCACAGTAGCGCCAGCCGGAGTTTGAACACGAGCAGTATAGACAGAATTCATTGGACCAACATTCGTTACTGTTCTTGATACAGTTAAGCTCTTCTTAAGCTCTGGAATGGTGATTGAAGGCAAATTAAGATTTACAAGGAATCTGGTTGATTTACGGAAACATCTGGTCTGAGTCTTAGTCATTGAGCTGATGGCAGAGTTATTATATCCCATTCCACAAAGGAAATGAACGTAATCTGATACTCCCATGTCATATATTAATCCAGGATCCATGGCTTTATTAGGATTGACATGACCCCCTCCATAGTCAAATGGGTCAGCCTGTTTGTGAGGAGCTCCCTCAGAAACTATAATTTGATCATATTCATCCTTCAGAGAAGCTGGAAAGAGTGGTAAAAGCATCAGTAATGTTAAAATGTAAGGGATGCAACCGAAACTCCATAAAATTTGTTTTTTTCTCACCTGTTGTGATCAGTGCAGACTTGATTGCAGCAGGACTCCACGTTTGATATTTACCTTTTAGAAGAGCCACAATACCAGAAACATGGGGACAAGACATGGAGGTTCCGGACTCGATTTTGAAGTTAAGTGGCGGTATGCTGTTATCTGTATCAGGGGATGAAGCAGGAGACCAGGAGGCCAAGACATTAACCCCAGGAGCTGTAATGTCTGGCTGCACAGCACATTCAAATATGCCAATGTCAAGAACCAGTTAAACCAATAATTATCTGAACAAATTGGCAATACCTTCAATACTGAGGGAGAGAGGGAACTAGGCCCTCGAGAAGAGAAGAAAGCAACTTCTGGTGATAACTGTTGCCCTATAACTGTCTTTGTGAAGCTAAATTTGACTAAGGGGTTTCTGTCACATAAAAAAGTTCATCAACTAATTTTGTTTAAGATAGCAAGATTTGTACATTTAGAACATTTAAAGTTTAAACAGTTGCAAATAACAGCATTTGACAATGTTGCTTAGATGCAGAGAAATTAGAGGAGCAATGATAAGAAGAATCAAGTTCACCACTGATAATTCAGTTGAGTAATGCTACGCCGTCAACATATTCTCATAACCTTCTCTTACAATCCTAACGTGTCAATAGATTAGCACTATCACATCAACTCCCCACCACACCCAAGGCATTACGAGAAACAAATGGTTGTTCCTTCATCCCCTATGAAGGAACGATCATTCCTTCATAAGGAACGGTTGTCCCTCATAAGGAACAATCATTTATTCCTTCATAAGGAATGACTGTTCCTTTAAGGAACAACATTTTCTTCTTCTTTCGAGGAACAACCATTCCTTCTGTGAGAAACGGCCATTCCTTTGGTCTAGTCAAAATCATTTTGCATCTTGAGTGTAGTGGAGCTGCAGTGACAGTGCCAGGTCAGTTGTCACATCAAGGTTGTAAGAGAGGTTTGTGCGAATGTGTTGTTGGCGTAGCATTACTCAATTTAGTTACCTGCTTGCCTGCATGTAGGTGAGTAGAGATGTTGCGATCACGAAGTCCACGAGGACACTTGGGATACCAAAGGAAAATTGAACATCCTTTGTAGGAAACTGAGCAAAGATGAGACCAACACCCTGGACAGCCATTACTGTTCTGGCAGCAGTTGCAACTGACCTCTGAGACCGAGATTGGAAACAAATAACAATTTTGCCTCTTGCTAAAGTAGCATTAAGAGTTCCTGAATCACAACTACTGCTAAAAGTACACACTATTAGAATATGAAATTCTCTACTGTCCAGCAGGATGAAAACAGAAAGGTGCTCTACCTGGCACTGTCTTCGTCCGCATCAATGCTTGCAATATCTTCTCCATACACAATGGGGTAAAACTTGTTCATATCCATTCTTCCGGTATAAAATGCTTGACCCTGTTTGAGAAAATCAAATTAGTTTATACGTATATATAGCACAAAGTTGATTACAGAGTAGCTCCACATCCATCACATGAAGTTTCTGAATTCAAAATTCTCTTGCATAAATGAAAAGGAAGTTAGAAAGTACCACAACAGTTTGATTGTTTCCCATTGTAATAGCAGTAGGGAAAGATCTATCAATGGTGCTAGCCGCAACAGTTATAATCCACGGGGCAGTATTTATAACAGTTTGAGGATAAGGACCAGAATTTCCCGCAGAGCATACTACAGCAATCCCTTTTGCTGCAGCATGGAAGGAACCAATTGATAGTAAATCATCAAAATAAGTGGAAAGCGGAGGGGATGAACCAAGGGATACTGAAAGCACATTCACACCATCAGAGACTGCATCATCAAATGCAGCGAGAAGGTCAGCTGAACTGCAGCCACCAGTAGCCCAACAAACTTTATAGACAGCTAAAGAAGCTAAAGGAGCACCCCCTCTAGCAATTCCTTGAGCTAGACCCATAAAGCTTGCATTTTTTACTGGAGCACCAGCTGCTGTAGATGCTGTGTGAGTACCGTGGCCCACAGCATCTCGAGGAGATAAGAATTCAACCCCATCACTAGTGTTCAGCTTCCCAAATTCAGCTTCATACCCTTTAATGTACCAGCGTGCACCGATGATTTTCCTGTTAAAAAATTTCTAGCATTAAGCAGTCAAATTCAGCCAACACCATCTTTTTTTTTTTTGGTTACGGGGTTGTCCGGGCACACCTCGACTAGTCCCCTGACCCCAAACAGGCTTTCGAAACAGGGCAAGCCCAACAATCCATGACCAACAACATTAGTAATTGTTCTTGTGATTTGAACCTAAGACCACAGGGAGAGCAAACCCCTTAACCCCAAGTCTTTACTATTTAGGCTAACCCATTGTTGGTTAAGCCAACAATATTAGCAGCCGTTCTTGTGACACCCTTCAACATTGACAGCCATTAAGCCATATGATGTTGCTTAAAAGAAAATATGTGAGAGAAAATGAAGAACACACCTATTGCAATTGGAGTGATTAATAGTCTTAATTGATTGATTAATTAGACCTACCAACCAAAACACCTTAGAATGGTTCAAACCGGTTTGAACCCAGGTTCATTTCCCCCACTCCTACTCTAACTACCTTCAAAAACCTGAACCATTTGGGGCAACCCCACCTCCGGTCCACTCGTTTTCTTCTTCCCTCATCTCCAACACTTTCCTATGGCTATTCGAGTGAATTTCCCCCGAAAAAGTCGGGCTACAAGCAGGCCGATATTCTGGGAACAGCCGGCCGGATTTGAACCGGACTCCGCATGCATTGCACAGCGTTTTGGGACCGAGGGGACCGGTTCGCCACTGGGGAGTCTTTTGTGTCTGGCAGTGGGTGCACCTCCGTTGAAATAATCCTCCGCCGCTTTGAACGTGGGTTTCTTCTTCGGTTTTCTGGCTTCCGTTCGGTAAAACTGTTACACCACTCGTGTTTTGAACCGAGCTGTGTGGTTGAGCCAGAAGAAGATGAAGAGGAAATTGGTGACTCAGAGAGTGGGGATGAACTCATGACCAGACCCGGGTGGCGGGTCTGGGTCTTTTGGTTCTGGCTTTGACGGAAATGATGCCGGAAAACGGGAGTTTGGTTCAAAACCGGTTTTATGACCGTTCAAACCGGTATTCTCCATGATTGGGGTACAAAAGAGAGAGCTCTGAACGTGAAGAATCATCCACCCTGGAAACCCATTCAGCTCTGCAATTTCATCCACCTAAAAATACACAAAAGGAATTTTATTTAACTTTCTAACGTAAATAAAAAGAATTATTTTAAACATAAAAAAAAAAAAAAAATGAACCATTTACCGTTTCAACGAGTTCATTGGTGAGAAGGGACTGATCAGAAGAAGAAAAAATGGAAGAGTTAGAGTTATTATCTCATCAACACGGTCTTGAGAATCAACAGAAAGGGAGTCTTTTACATCTTCAAATTCTTGAAATTCTCCGTTGGAAAAATCAAGAAGATCATCAACAGAAAATCATCACACGAAACACAACCCAAATCATCAAACAAAACAACTTGTTGGTGGTGAACGTGGGTGGATTTCATGGAGATTTCTCTACGTAAACTAGATTTCAAAGCTCGTTCAAATCCCATGCACAGCTCCATGCTATGATGTCGAATACCACAATTAAAATTTAAAAAAAATAAAATTACTTAAAAAGAGAGATATATTTTCAGAGAAAAATTTCAAAGGTTGTGGAGAAGAAGAAGAAGAAAATGGAGAGTAAAAATCAAGAGTTAGTTGAGAATGAAGCACTGATATGAGGCTGGTTCGTGGGCGAAACTGGTGCGGAGTTAATGGCTTGTCTCCTCATTATCTACTACTTTTTACTTTATATCTTTTATTTTATTTATTTATTTATTTACTCATTTGAATTTGAATTATAACTGTAAATATACTGTAAATTTTATTTGATATAAATAAATAGAAAATCTGCATGGTTTTTTGTTAAGGGCTGACTGTCGTTGAGGAAGTCTTGATAGGTTGGCTTTGTTTGGACCAAATCCATTTTCTACATTTTTACTTTCTCTATCCTTGACTAATCTTATTCCAGGTTTAGTCTATTCCATCCAATGGGTGAAACAAACAAAGCAATTTACTTTATTTTTATTAATTGACTTTGAAATAAGACTTGGAACTAAAGATTCAGAAAAAAAAAAAAAAAAAAAAAATTCTAAAACCATTTCAATTTATGTTTCATTATTTTAGATAGGTTAAGGATTATCGAGTTATACTCACATTCTTCTCACAGTTTTCTCTCACAATCTATCGTAACAGCTGAAATTTATTAGGTGGAATATGTTACAAGCTGACCAATTACGAGTTGTCACTCAATGTTGTAGAAGAAGTTTTTGAAGAAGAAATTATGTGTAACATTACTCTATTATATATAAATTATACAATAGTTTTAACAAATTAATATCGAATAAAACCAACCCCTGGATGGATGAGTGGTCGAAGTCAAACGTTAAAAATTAATTGAGTTTACGTAAACTATCCGAACATCCCGATTACCAATACAATTTTATTAGAGCCTTTATTATTACCTTAATATTATCGAAAGGGAATTATATGTCACAAAATATCTATGTCGCTAATCAAATTATAGTTAACATAGACGAAAGAGACACTAAAAATCGATTGTGTGGATTACACAATTGAATCGATTTTTTTTTTTTTAATAATTAAATCACAATATTTTACATATGGTTTAACATATATTGTACTTTCATTTAATTTTTTTTAAAAGGAAGTGAGGAACCTTCCTAAGTTGATTAATTTATAAAAAAAAATATATATTTAAATTTTAAAATTTCAAAATTTGAAGTACAGCCCGGTCTGAATTTCATTGTCACACCCTCACTTCCCCTTTCGTATTTGGCGTGTGAAATCAGAGGGTCCCACCAAAGCGGACTCATTAGAAGAGTCATAGAATTAACGGAGGGAGGGCGCTAAGATTATTCAAAAGTTAACCGACAGAAACCGCCGCCAATTTTTTTATTCTTTTTTTGGATATTCCAAAACTGACCCTGAAAGTTCCGTTAAATTACAAAAAATTATATTACTTGACCGCGTAATCTCGCCACAATTTCTGACTAATCCTCCACTCCATTCCCGCTCCGTCTTTGTAACTGTAGAAAACCATTTCCACTCTCTAAGACTTTTGCGTACAAAATCGAACGGCCAGAAATTTAATCTTCCGATGAATCCAACGCTGGTTGTTAGGCAAGGAGTGGACAAAGCCATCAAAGCGCGTAGGTAAGAGTTTGGTTTGGTTTGATGACGCGGTATGAAATCTTACAGCTAAGTGCTCCACGTATGGAGCATGCTAATCGTGTTGCGGTGGGAATTCATGGCCTGGCTGGACACAAATACAAATTACTTTATGAGAAAATTATATTAATTTTAGTTCAATAATTAATGATTAGTTTCTGTCCTTTCATTGCTTAACGTTTCAAATTCCTTGATGCTTAACATTCATTAGTTGACACCATATTAATCTACTTTAGTTTTTAACAAATTTTCTTACCATATTTTGATAACCGGTCCGTAGAACTTACTCCCAAAAATTAGTTAAAAAGAAGAGGAATCGGCTACCATAACAATCACTAAATTGACGATGTTTAACAAACACAATTCTAAGTTTCTACCACCCTCCCCACGCTCGAGGTGCATGCTTGGGTAGAGGTGAAAATCGAGTCAAGTCACTTATGCGTCGTGCTCGTGCTCGGCTCGGACTCGTTTAATCGAGCACGAGTTCGATTACGATACAATTTGACTTGAAAACTCGATTAAGCGATATATCGAGTTTGAGTTTGAGCATGATTCCTCAAGTTCGGTCAGACTCGAATTTAAAATTAAATTCGGTACTATAGCAATTAAGTTGAGTTTGAGTAGCCAGATATTTGACTCGATTTCATCCCTACGCCCAGGGTCCAAATCCTCTAGGACCCACCATCACCACGAGCAAAGGCGGTTCTGAATCTTCTGATACTATGATAAATAGCTTGAATATATCTCACTCCCAAATATACTAAAGAGTAGAGAGCTCAACCACACATATATATATATAATATAAATAAATAAATAATAAGTATATATATATATATATATATATATATATATATATATATATATATATATATATATTATAATATATATTATATATATATATATAATATTATATATATATATACAGTGGTGGATCCAGCCACTTTTTGGGCCACCCTCAAAATTTTCTTTTTTAATATTAATATGTATAATTTATATAATTTAGCCCACCCTAACAAAATATTAATGGATAAAATAGTAATGTATAATAAATTTTATTTTGGCCCCTTAAAAGAAATTTCGGATCCGCTACTGTATATATATTAACAATATTGTTTCTAAGACATGGTTTAATATAATTATGGATTAATTTTCACATTAAAATTCTTATTAAAAGTTAGTTTTTGTCTAGAGCCTAAAATCTCTTTCAGCCGGCTCTATAGATAGAATCTATGGAAGCTTAAATTTCCAACTCAATTAATAATGGGTCTATTGGATTAGGAGTTATAATATGATGAAGGTAATTAGAAAATTAAGTAATATATTTAATGTAAGTAAATATTTAGTGTGACCTCTCTAATTGCTATAAGGCTGGAAATACAAGGCTAATGATGGGTCCACTTAAATTTTAATTAACACAAGTTGCCTATGTTGTATTATTTATAATATCTATGTTAAATAATTATAATGCAAAGTTGCCTATTTGTATTATTTATGTAATATCTTATGTTAAATAATTATATGCAAAGTTATATAGGGTGTGTTCGTTTTTGTTATTTTGGATAAGATTTTGGGAATAATATTAGGAGTTGAATAGGTTGAGTATTACGAGTAAAATTTAAAAATTAAGAAAAAAAAACCCTTTAGGTTTGCTAATTTAACTAAACACCCTAATATACATTTTTTGTAAATGACAAAAACACCCCCACCCACCCACAGTGCCAGATCTGGTCAGTCGTGCGTCATATAGCCTTTTCCACCAGATCCCCAAGATCTGGCCGCAAAAGGCCAGATCTAGTTGTCGACGGTAGCAAAAGGCTAGATTTGGCCATCGTTGTCGTCAATTCTTGGCCGTCGCTGACGGCCAGATCTGACTTTTTCCGACCAAATGCACTGTGGATCTGATTGGAAAAGGCTAGTATGGTGAATTACTGGTCAATTTCAATCGTTTGTACGCATTGTGACAGATTCTACAATCGTCGACGATGGTTGCTGGAATCTGGCAATTATGGGTGGATAAGGGTGTTTTTTGTTAATTTTTAAACTTTTTTCTATGAGCGTTTTATAAATTAATAACTTAAGAGGTCAAAAAATAATTAAAAAATAGAATATATTTTCTAAATAATTACAAACATAATTTTGGAAATAGGATCGGAATAATAAAACAAAGGCACCTTATATTTTCTTTTTCACTTCTCCAAATAAAGAAAAAAAAAAATCTCTTTCTCTTTCTTCTAGAAATATTAAAGTTGTTTTGGGATTATAACAATGCAACAAGTCAATAATGACAACTAAACTAACTTTTGAGTTCTAACTAAGCTATTAATTTTATGTATCTCTTTATTTTTCACCACAATTAATTTAATTTACACACATTTAAGGATAATCATAATACCCTATGAAAATAAATTCATTAAAAAAATAAAAAATTGGTGTATGAAGAAAACTTAACTACTCATTAGCTTTACGACTGGATGATAAGACTTTAATTATTTGGATAGATTATCTAGAAATCATGTGTTCGAATTTCATAAATGATCATCTCTACATTTATGATTTACCTGACTCATTGGGTCGGGCTTGTAGGGTGTTCAAAGTAATCACTTACCATATTTGTGATTTACCTGACCATTAAGTTGGGTTTGTAGATATATTCAATGGTCTCGGAGATTAGTTGAGGTTGGGTTTATAAGGTTTCAATGCATCTCAGGAATCAGTCTTGCGGACACCCTGATTAAAAAAAAAAACATTTTCATTGACATAATTAGATTAACATACATATATTAATATTACCTAAAGATTGTGATAACAAACAAAATTAAGTATCTTAATCCATTATATATGATTATAAATAAATTAAAAAAATGTTTAAAAATTTTCGTAGTCTTAGTAAAAGTTAAGGTTTACTTTATATGAGATATCACGTAAATGTTGCTAGAGTAACGGACCCTTATTATAAGGGTGTTATTATATATTTACAAGTTCTTAAAAAGACTTGTAACATTTGAAGATGCCCCATGACATGAGTAACTAGAAAATGTGAAATGATGATTAACCCCATCATGAAGTTTCTTTAGAGTATAGGAAAAGCAACTATTTCTTCATAAAGAGATTAAAACAGGGTGTTCGGTCAACTTCTTGACTAATCTTTGAAGGTGACAAACCCCTTAACTACACATCCCAACGTACATTCTGCCATTTGAACGGTCTAATATTGACTTTGGGTGTATTACTCGAAAAATCCTGAATTCGATCTACTTAGATTGTTATAGAGGTGATAATATTGAAAATTTATCAAGACTATCAACTTAAAGATTCTAAAAAATTAATTGAATACGTATAAACTGAATCGAACATCATTTGAAATGGGTCGGAAACACAAAGGTCATTATCCTTGCAACGGATTCCCATTAAACGGAGAAAAGGACAATTTCATAGTTGAGACAGGAGAACTGTTTACTAAATTTGATTAAAAAAATAAAAAATAAAAATCCAGCCGACCGTTTGACAGAAAAAGACACAAGGAATACTCAAGGAAGAGCACGTGGCAGTAAGCGTGAGAAGATACAGCAAGGGGAGCCATGTCGTTTAAGATTTAGAAAACAATGGCTACTATTAGCAACGACAATCCGTGATTCGGTGCGGTCACGTGCATGGTCCCCTCCATTATACAATAACATGTGATATTTTATTTTAATAAAAAAGAGTTTAATAGATTATGTAGAAGCTAAGCAGAGACAAACAGGATGATGATTTTAGACTGACCCATTAAGTCTTCATTGTTTATTGCTAAATGATTTGGTAGGCAAGAAGAAGGAAAGAACCCAGAAATTGACTAACCATTTTCACTTTAACCTTTGAAGTTTCCAAAGCCACCCACTTTTGTCTTCAATACTAACATGTATTTTATTTTCTTGATGACGGGATATTTAGACTAGTTTACGCACACCTATTAATCTTCGGGACCATTGAATACTCTACAAACTTGATATTTTAAAGTAAGTTACAATCTGGTAGATGGTCCCAAGTTTCGAACCTAGAAATCAATAAGGGAGCAAATCTTCTTAACCGTTAGGTCAACCCCTTTGGTGATTCACTTGGACTCTTGGGTGTATTACTTAAGAGGTCTTGTTACAAATCCTTGCAACTATAATAAGGGGTAGTATTGAAGTTCAACCGACTAAGCACGTGCGCTCAAGCCTTCTGGTTTTAGAGGGGGATAATCCTCCCATCAACAAGACTTTATTGGGTGAGGAGTCAAGTCCACCTCAAATCTATCATGTATCAAAGTCAGGTTCAGTTGAGTTAGTGCTTGATCAACGGGTGAGGAATTAGAACCAGCAACTATCTTCATCAACAGGCATGACCACCATATGGTTTGACCGTGAGAGGAGCGTTGGAGTCCCATACCGATTAGACACGCTCAAGCCTTCGGTTTATAAGAGAGAATAATCCTCACATTCAACAAGACCTTATTAGATGAGAGTCAGACCCACTTCAAATTCTACAGTAGCCACTGAGGCTAACTGACCGTTAACTTCAGGGTCCCAAGAGAATAATCGAGATGCGCATAAGAAATCACGAGTTAGTTATAAACTATGCTCATTACCGATGATTAGTTGATGACTTTGAAGGAAGCTTTAAGTAATCAAACCTTGTAAATTTTTCAATTTCACAAGTAAACTCATGTGGGTGTGGTTGCAGGTTGTTCAACAAACATAACCAGTTGATGATCTTTTAGAATATAAAAATCTCACAAGTGACTTCATTCACACACTTATACTGTATATTTTATATAATCATATTTCATTTTCTAACTTTGTGTGAATTATTTCATAGAATAAACTTGCAGGCCAATAGCTGCATGCTGATGTATAATGGAAGACAAAGCTGAAGGACCCACCTGGTATGGCCATATTTGGTGGATTTCAATCCTCTTCTTCATCTTTATAAAAAGTATAGTTGATATTATCCAGAGCATGATCATCATTGTTTCTGTCCCTCTCTATTTTTTTTTTTTGGAATTAACAATGAGTATTCGATTCAAAGAGACAGATGAAAGACAGAAAAATTAGACCGAAATAGCTATCAACTCGAGCGAATAGCAACAAAAAGTTTTGACTGTGAAAAAATATATGAAATCAGAACTCTAATTCAAGAAGACAGGGAGTGAAGCGTGCAGGAGCAGTTCATACTTATGATTGCCTTATGGATAAAGGAGATAACACAATCTGTTTGGAGATCGCGCAAACGAAAACATACATTCGAAATTAATAACATAAGAATAAAATCACACCACACAAAGAGACACGATATTTACGTGGTTCGGCATAACCTGCTTATTTTACAGATGTAGAGAAATTCATTATAGTTTCATGAATACCATATACAAGAGTACATTAGGGTGTTCAAAAAAATGCAAAAACCAAACCGAACCGAAAACCGTTAACCGAAAAAACGGTCGGTTACGGTTCGAAAATTAAAAAAACCAATTTTGGTTGGGAAAAAATAAAACGGTACGAAACGGTTTTTGAACCGGTTATATATATTAATAAAAATATATATTATATATTAAATAAAAATATATATTTTTTATATTGTTAGTAGTAGTCATAGATATGTATGAATGTTTAATTTTATTTGATTGTATTGTTTATATTTACAGTTTAATTTAGGAAAAAATAAAAAAAAATAAGTTTTATAAAAAAAAAAAAAGGGAAAACCGGTTAAAACCGTTAACCGCTTTTTTTAAAGTGTTTAACCGGTTTTTCAGTTTTTCCCCAAACCGGTTCGTTTCGGTTCAAAAAAGTGGTTAACCGGTTCGGTTAACCGCTTTGAACACCCCTAGAGTACACAATACCATATACCCGGTACATAAAACAGAGCGGAAACAATCCTGATTCTAACCACGCTCAACCCAGTACCTAAGTGGAAACGATCCAGTTTCTAAAACCTCTCCCAATAGTGTTTAATATTATTACATCAAATACCATGTCTTCTCATAATATATGAGATATTCTATTTCTAATAGGATTTATATTTCAATTCCTTTTAGACTCCTAATTTATAATCGTATTCTTTACCAAATATTTTCCTATATCATATATTTCACATGAAACAATAGGAAACGAGCCACGATATCCAACACAATCTTCATCAAGTCAAAAAACTGAAGAATTAGTACAATAATTTCATAGTTCCTAGCAGCTTCTTTCCTGGTTTTTATTGTTTTGCTAAATCAATTCAAACATGATGTTTATATTGGAAGAATACAGCAGTAAGTGATAAACTATCAATGAAACATGGTACACGCAATGGCATTCTATGATCATGTTTGGGAATAAAAACATCAATGACAGTTCGAACTATCAACGGTATTCTCACAACATGATGTAAACCATCTCCAGAACAGATATCCAAACGAGTATCTTCCCTGAACTCTGAGCTGGAACGAAAAGTTACCTTAAACTTCAGAGTCTTTACAGTAGAATTAAATGTCAAAGTTGATGGTTCGACTCCCACAGTAGCGCCAGCCGGAGTTTGAACACGAGCAGTATAGACAGAATTCACTGGACCAACATTCGTTACTGTTCTTGATACAGTTAGGCTTCTTAAGCTCTGGAATGGTGATTGAAGGCAAATTAAGATTTACAAGGAATCCGGTTGATTACGGAAACATCTGGTCTGAGTCTTTCATGAGCTGATGCAGAGTTTATTATCCCATTCCACAAAGGAAATGAACGTAATCTGATACTCCCATGTCATATATTAATCCAGGATCCATGGCTTTATTAGGATTGACATGACCCCCTCCATAGTCAAATGGTCAGCGCTTTGTGAGGAGCTCCCTCAGAAACTATAATTTGATCATATTCATCCTTCAGAGAAGCTGGAAAGATGGTAAAAGCATCAGTAATGTTAAAATGTAAGGGATGCAACGAAACTACCCTATACTTAGAAGTTAGAAGGAATATTGGGGGAAGAATTCCGAAGGCAATATAAAGCCAATTCCACCACAAACATCACACTCAAAACGGGGAAGGCATGAGGAAAGTCACTCATAATAATGCAAATTTACCTGATCCTTTGGGTTTGTAGGATGTTCAATGGATCTCAGAGATTAATTGAGAAGAGTGCAAGCTGACTCGAATACCCCAGTTACGCAAAAAAAATCTCAAACACTTATAGGTTTTCTAATGTATTAAATGCCTCACTGAAATAACCGTAAATGAAATTTACCCTATACTTAGAAGGGATATTGGGGGAAGAATTCCAGGGCAATATGAAGTCAATTCCACCACAAACATCACACTCAAAACGGGGATGGCATGAGGAAAGTCACTCATAATAATGCAAATTTGCCCAAATTATGAAGGCTAGTAGTAAGCGGCCACATGAAAAATCAAAATAGATGAGAATAAAATAAGGGCATGACCTTGACTTGGTCCGTTGATCCTATTCCTAGTCTATGACACTTATCTGAGTCTGAAAAACAAAGCCATCGCCTATTTAATCAATTCATCTATTAAATTAAATAAACCTAAAGACATTGACCTTTCGAGAATCGAGAGTTCATTTAATAACAAAAATCCTCTTAATATAACTTGCTCTGGTAGTTTATCGCTTAAGATTCTTAGGTATATTATTCAAGAAGTTTTGAGTTTGAATCCTCACGACTACTAACAATGGGTAGCTACTGAAGATTTATATAACTACTAACTTCAGGGCCCTAAAAGACTAATTAAAGTACGCGTAAGCTAACCCGAATACCCCCGGATATCAAAAAAACAAATAATAATCTTGGGTCCGTTTACTTTATTATTTCATACCCTATTCTTAATCATATTCCTAAAATAACTGTTTGTTTAATTATTTAATAAATACTATTATATTTTTTTAATTACTTTTAGACTGTTAAGTTTATTAATTTCATTAAACACCCCCAGAAAAAAAGTTTAAAAATTAACAAAAACACCCCCACTCACCCATAGTTGCCAGATTTTGACAACCATCGTCAGTAGTAATCGAAATCTGTTACAACGGCCTACAAACGATCAGAACTGGCCGGTAATTCACCAGTGATGGCCAAAGAAATGGTCGTCGCAGATCTGGCCTTTTGCAGTCGTTGACAACCAAATATGGCCTTTTTCGGCCAGATTCGTGGTGGATCTGGCTGAAAAAGGCCAGATCGACGCATGTTCAGCCAGATCCGACTGGTCTACGTCGTAACACCAGATTCCGACGATGGTGGCTGGAATCTGGTACTATGGGTGGGTGGGTGTGTTTTTGTCATTTTACAAAAATTTTATATATTGGGGTGTTTAGTTAAATTAGCAAAATTAGGAGGTTTTTTTGTTAATTTTTAAATTTTATCTCCTAATAATCACCCCATTCAACTATCCAATATTATTTCCAAAATCCTATTAAAAATAACAAATCAAACAGACCCTTATTATTACTGAACTATTGATTAACCGTTAAAAATTTATATTATTACGAATTAAATAAATATTTACCAAATTACCCTTACGTCGTTTATTTGAGTATATCCAAACTGAGATATTTTGTTAATTGATTATTATACATACGCGAAGGGCAGTTGTGAAATAGCATTTGGAATTGCCTTGGGGGCAGTGGCTACTCCACCACACAACATTTGGTGCTTCTTTCTAACTTTCTCAAATCCAACCATAGTTTTGATTGATTTATTTAATGCTTTACCTGACCCACAAAGTTTGGCTTTTTAACAACACCATCAACCCATTCAAAACTTTGTAAAACTGTTTTTGAACATTTCAAAGGCCCCCCTCCTCCTTGAAAGTAACAACAACACATTCCAAAAACAACCACTACTTTCCCATCCAATAAAATTTTGTGTAATTCAATGATCAAATTTAATGTCAATACCTCTATACATACGAAGATGATACGATAAATAAATCCATTAATTTTTTTTTTTTTTTTTTGGGTATCCAAAGGTATTCGGACTAACTTGTATATGCCTCAACTAGTTCTTCAAGGCTCTGAAATTAACAGTCAGGTAAGCCTCCAATAACTATCCCTTAATATAGTCATAGAGATTTGAACTCAGAACCTCTTGAATAATACACTCAATAGTTTCAAGCAAACCACCGAATAGTTTATACGTTACTTTCCTATAATTAATGTGATACCCACATATAAATAGATATAATTTCTAATATTTTTAATTAAATTAATATCTTATATAGTGCCAATATAAAATGCTTTATCAAGAAACAAAATTTAAAAAGAAAAAGATTCTAAAATTAGAACTATTGAGTATTATACATTAAATTCTCTTCATTGGTCCTGCAAATAAATCGATAAATAGACTCTAAAAATACAACCAAAAAAAAAAGAAAGAAAGAGAAACCTCCCTACATTCCCGTGACATGCCTAACTAACTATAATTAACCTTAATCTTAGTCTTAATTGATTGATTAATTAGACCTACCAACCAAAACCAACCTTAGAATGGTTCAAACCGGTTTGAACCCACGGTTCATTTCCGCCTACTCCTACTCTAACCACCTTCAAAAACTCTGAACCATTTGGGTCAACCCCACCTCCGGTCCACTCGTTTCTTTCTTCTTCCTCATCTCCAACACTTTCCTATGGCTATTCGAGTGAATTTCCCCCGAAAAAGTCGGGCTACAAGCAGGCCGATATTCTGGGAACAGCCGGCCGGATTTGAACCGGACTCCGCATGCATTGCACAGCGTTTTGGGACCGAGGGGACCGGTTCGCCACTGGGGAGTCTTTTGTGTCTGGCAGTGGGTGCACCTCCGTTGAAATAATCCTCCGCCGCTTTGAACCGCGGTTTTCTTCTTCGGTTTCTTGGCTTCCGGTTCGGTAAAACTGTTACACCACTCCGTGTTTTGAACCGAGCTGGTGATGGTTGAGCCAGAAGAAGATGAAGAGGAAATTGGTGACTCAGAGAGTGGGGATGAACTCATTGACCAGACCCGGGTGGCGGGTCTGGGTCTTTTGGTTCTGGCTTTGGACGGAAATGATGCCGGAAAACATGGAGTTTGGTTCAAAACCGGTTTTATGACCGGTTCAAACCGGTATTCTCCATGATTGGGGTACAAAAGAGAGAGCTCTGAACGTGAAGAATCATCCACAAACCTGGAAACCCATTCAAGCTCTGCAATTTCATCCACCTGAAAAATACACAAAAAGGAATTTTATTTTAACTTTCTAACGTAAAATAAAAAAAAATTATTTTTAACATATAAAAAAAAAAAAAAAAAATGAACCATTTACCGGTTCAACGAGTTCATTGGTGAGAAGGGACTGATCAGAAGAAGAAAAAATGGAAGAGTTAGAGTTATTATCATCATCAACACGGTCTTGAGAATCAACAGAAAGGGAGTCTTTTACATCTTCAAATTCTTGAAATTCTCCGTTGGAAAAATCAAGAAGATCATCAACAGAAAAATCATCACACGAAACACAACCCAAATCATCAAACAAAACAACTTGTTGGTGGTGAACGTGGGTGGATTTCATGGAGAGTTCTCTACGTAAACTAGATTTCAAAGCTCGTTCAAATCCCATGCACAGCTCCATGCTATGATGTCGAATACCACAAATTAAAATTTAAAAAATAAAAATTACTTAAAAAGAGAGGATATATTTTCAGAGAAAAATTTCAAAGGTTGTGGAGAAGAAGAAGAAGAAAATGGAGAGTAAAAATCAAGAGTTAGTTGAGAATGAAGCACTGATATGAAGGCTGGTTCGTGGGCGAAACTGGTGCGGAGTTAATGGCTTGTCTCCTCATTATCTACTACTTTTTACTTTATATATCTTTTATTTTATTTATTTATTTATTTACTCATTTGAATTTGAATTATAACTGTAAATATACTGTAAATATTTATTTGATATAAATAAATAGAAAATCTGCATGGTTTTTTGTTAAGGGCTGACTGTCGTTGAGGAAGTCTTGATAGGTTGGCTTTGTTTGGACCAAATCCATTTTCTACATTTTTACTTTCTCTATCCTTGACTAATCTTATTCCAGGTTTAGTCTATTCCATCCAATGGGTGAAACAAACAAAAGCAATTTACTTTATATTTTATTTAATTGACTTTGAAATAAGACTTGGAACTAGAAGATTCAGAAAAAAAAAAAAAAAAAAAAAAAAATTCTAAAACCATTTCAATTTATGTTTTCATTATACTTTAGATAGGTTAAGGATTATCGAGTTATACTCACAATTTCTTCTCACAAGTTTTCTCTCACAATCCTATCGTAACAGCTGAAATTTATTAGGTGGAATATGTTACAAGCTGACCAATTACGAGTTGTCACGTCAATGTTGTAGAAGAAAGTTTTTGAGAGAAGAAATTATGGGTGTAACATTACTCTATTATATATAAATTATACAATAGTTTTAACAAATTAATATCGAATAAACCAACCCCTGGATGGATGAGTGGTCGAAGTCAAACGTTAAAAATTAATTGAGTTACGTATAAACTATCCGAACATCCCCGATTACCAATACAATTTTATTAGAGCCTTTATTATTACCTTAATATTATCGAAAGGGAATTATATGTCACAAAAATATCTATGTCGCTAATCAAATTAATAGTTAACATAGACGAAAGAGACACTAAAAATCGATTTGTGGATTACACAAATTGAATCGATTTTTTTTTTTTTTAATAATTAAATCACAATATTTTACATATGGTTTAACATATATTGTACTTTCATTTAATTTTTTTTAAAAGGAAGTGAGGAACCTTCCT